ATAAACATGACAAAGACTAAAATGCTGGTAAAAAATATGACATCAAAATCGAAAGAGGAGTTAACGAAGAAATTGTAGGTTTTTTCCACCTTTCTAAGTCTTTCTTAATTTTATTGATCAAATTAGTATAGTTATCTTCTTTGATGGACACACACCTCGCAGACAAATATATTTGACTTTTTTGACAGTTTGGATACTCAATTTCTTCGTTAACTCCTCTTTCGATTTTGATGTCATATTTTTTACCAGCATTTTAGTCTTTGTCATGTTTATCTTTAAACCCACTACTTTCCCATACTCTGTCAATTTTGTCTTTCCCTTTTTTATTTTGGTTTGTATTAATTTTTAGAGAGAGAAGGGGAGGGAGGGAGGGAGAGGGAGGAGAGAGAGGGAGGAAGGAAGGGGTAAGAGAGCGAGAGAGAGAGAGAGAGGGAGGGCGGGAGGGAGGGAGAGCTAGCTAGCTAGCTTTCTATGGATATTTTTTCTATGAGAGGGAGCACATTGTTGTGAGTACATGAACGAGACCACCACAGCTTCTTCAAGGGATTGCCAAGCAGTGCAAATACATTCCATAGTAAATTACTGCCCAACCCTTTGCCTTATACTCTTTGTTTTATCTCCAGAATTCACAGTCATGATAGAGAAGGGGAATCAAATTATGGTTTCCAAGAAACCAAAGGAATGCATGTTTGATCTGAAGAGTTGGGCAGCACTACCCCATTTATAAATCTAATCTGAAGTGGGTAGGGGTGGGTGGGCGTTAAAGGCTCAGTAAGCAAAAGAACATTTAAGACTGGGGTGAGTAAGACCTGCTCAAATGCTCTACAATGCTCTTTTTATATACGATAGAGAAATCAGAGCCTACCTCAAGAGATTATCAAAGCAAGCTCCCTTGGGGCAGATGAGAAAAAACTCAGTGCTGGATTGATGGCCAGCATGTATCTTTCACTTAGTAGCAAAGAGACTGATGTCACAGTAAGATATGTACCTGGCTTTGTGACCTCACTGCCAGACCAACCAATCAACCAACCAACCAATCGCATACATTTCTCACAAAAGCCAAGTTTCTGAGGAAATGTTTTTCAACCTTGGGAACATTAAGAGCCTGATGGCTGTGGAATTCTGGGAGTTGAAGCCCACACATTTTTTAAGTTCTCATGGTTAAAAAATACTGCTCGGAGACCCCATTTCCTTTCATTTACAGATTAGATTCCATTTTGCACCTTGTCTTTCTTCCACAGAATTCAAAAATGGCAGACCCAGGATGTCCTCCTACTGGTCTTCCACCCCAGGAATTGATGGGTTTACATCTATTTAGCTTCAGCAAAATTAGTGCATCACATATCTTTGGATCATACTCAGGGACACTGTGTTATTGGTTTGTTTTTTAAAAAATTAGCTAACATCTCACTAGCAAAGGAAACAAAGAGGAGAAAGAACAGTTTTTCAAAGGAGAGAAGAAATAAAAAACAGGTTTGCTGCACTAGATAGATTTAGGTTTCCTTTGGAAATCATAAAATGGATTAAGACATTACATGAATTCCTTATACCTAAAAGTTAATGGCATGTTTTTCTCCTACTTTTCTACTATTCAGGGCAAACCAGACAAAAATGTTCACATTCACCCACGCTTTTTAATATCTGCGTGGGAACTCTTGATGTGGGCTGTTAACACAGAGAGAGACACAGAGTAGAACATAACACTTGAGCACAAATTGGCTTTATTTGCAGACAACATTCTTTTATTTCTTAACATCATGTTACTATGCCAGTGTTGGTGAAATAAAAAAATATAAAACTGTAACTGTTTATAGTTATAAAAGTTATATATTACTTTTGGCTGTATTTTCCCCCACTTGTTTGTTATAGCACTTTTTATGTGCTTTTCCCCCCCTCTTTGATAATGTATGGTATCACTATCAATGTTTATTCTTCTTTTTTTCCCCTTATTAATTTAAAACGCAATAAAGTAGTCCTCAACTTACAACAGTTCAGTTAGTGAGCACTCAAAGTTACAACAGAACTGAAAAAAGTGACTTATGACCGTTTTCACACTTACAACCACTGAAGCATTCCCAGGGCCACGTGATCAAAATTCAGACACTTGGCAACTGACTTGTATTTATGACAGTCACAGTGTCCCAGAATCACGCGATCCCCTTTTGTGACCTTCTGACAACCAAAGTCAATGGGGAAGCCAGATTCATTTAACAACCTTGTTATTAACATTAACAACTGCAGTGATTCACTTCTTAACAACTGTGGCAAGAAAGGTCATAAAATGGGGCAAAATTTACTCAACACTGGTCTCACTCAACACCGGTCTCACTTAGCAACAGAACTATGGCTTAATTGTAACCATAAATCAAGTACTACCTTGCCTAATAAGCAAGTGTAGAATTCCCCACTAGGAATTGTATTGAGACTAGGAGCATAAACCAAAGTTCTCAAAAGATCTCAAATAGTGATTAAAAATAAACCCTGGGCATGAAGGATGAGAATATTACATTTCCAATAGTTTAGCTAAAAGTAATGCAGATAAGAGTATTTTGCAAACTGCCTTTTTTTTCTCACATAGAGAGTGACACTTACCATGAGTCAGTACTCCTTCATCCATCAACACTTGACAAAGCCCAAGGGCCTGGCTGCGGGTCTGCACCGAAAGTCCTGCGCTAAGAAGTGCGTCTACCAGCTCCTTCCCAGAACAACACTGCCTGAAAGAAACACAAAATGACAGTGATTTCCAAGTGGTTTTGAGATCAAGATAACTAAGAGGGCATGCTTCAAATTCCAGGTAGGATTGTTCACTGAGAAAGCTTCAGGTTGATGTTTCTTACATTTTCTCCAATCATGGACCACTAAATGAATATTTGGGAAATGCGGGGTTCACTTTATTAAAAAATAATATCCTCTCTAAGCATGGAAGTTCTTTGGAGTTGAGTAAAATAATGATTATACTTGTGTTTGTACATAGCTTCATGCCCCTCCATTTTAAAGAGATCACAATGGTTTGTTACAGAAGCTACTGTCCCTTTTCATCCATTGTTAGGAACAGAAAACAGGTATGTATGTTACTGAAGTTTCCTGGTTAGGTCCCTTAGAAGAATTCCAGATATCAGTTGACTGAGAAATTTGCTCACATAAGTTGGCAAAAGATGTACTTTGTGACTCTGGATCAGAAGTAGCATGCTGGGGAGCAACAGAAGAGAAGACTTCTTGCATTAAGCCATAATTTTCCTAGAAGTATCCACTATGGAAACAACATCTTAAATTAGAAAGATTTGGCTTTACCAGGAATGGCAGCATATAAAAACAGAGTATCACATATTCCAGGGTTTCTCAACCTTGAGACCTTTAAGATGCATAGACTTCAACTCCCAGAATTCTGCAGCCAGCACCTTACTCCATATTCCCAAAATGTTTGTTAAGTATCTTGAAAATCTAAAATTCTAATTTCATTTCATCTCTAATCAAGGAACTCTATAATCAATTGAACTCAAATTATTCAGGGTTCATTACCTGACATTCATATGGGAACATGTAGTATAAAACCACTTTCATATAGTTTTGGATACATGCATATCCAATTTTAGGGCAGGTCAAATTTTTCAATTTTCAATTTCCAAACTTTAGGGGTGCTCAAAATTCTTGATATGTCTTGGGGATTGTAAAGGTATTTTGGTTACTTTGATATAATTTAGATGTGCTTGGTAAATAACTACATAAATATCACAACTTTTTAACATTTTGTTTGTTTCATTATCCATATGATAATGCAAATTTATATGTACAGGTAAAAATGAATGCAAATAAATGTCCCCATAAGTCATACACCAGCCACAGATCCTTTCTAAGAAAGATGGACAGTTAAGAAATATGAAATGTATATAAATAAATAAATTGTTATGTGGCTTCTTAATGATTGCTGAAACAAACAATTATTGTACAAGACTCTGCAAGGTTTTTCTTCCAGAACAGTTAATTCAATGGCAATTGAATACTGTCAAGGAAAGAGTTCCAGACTTGTGTAAATCTACATTCAGAAGCCTCATTATTCTTATGTAACACATCCCTGGATGTTTTGCTTGTGACGACACTCATAAAATCTTTAGAGAAAACAGCAGTGTCATCTACCTGTACCAGTGGTGGGTTCCTACTGGTTCGGACTGGTTCAGCCAAACTGGTAGTGGTATGGGGGCCTGGGTCCCTGGAACTGGCAGTGACCCAGGCCTGCCACGCCCCCGAACCAGTTCCCCAGTCTCTTCTGCTGTCGCCAGCATGTTTCTGCGCATGTGCAGAACAGTTTTCAGTCAACTGCGCATGCACAGCAATGTGCGGTGTGCAAAAGACCCTCTAAGCGAACCGGTAGTAAACCAGTTAGGAACCCACCACTGACCTGTACCTCATTTTCAACCTAGCCCATGAGGGAGAGAGGGGGAAGTGCCAGTTGCTTTTCATTTCTTGCTCCGGGCCCACACATGTATATGTACCTGTGAAGCCGGAGGTGATGCTTATGATCGCGGATTAAATCTGGATACATGACTACCAAGTGTGCGCAGAGGAGCCTCCCTGCTCTCCGGATTTTGTTGGAGGAAGCCTGCAAAATAAAATGCAAGAGGGGCTACTGCATTTGATCTCATTTTCTGGATATTCAAATGTCAGGGAATACTAATTTGGGCAGGACGGCAAGAGGTCAGAACTGCTGGCCATGCTTTAAGAAGTCATCTCTAGCCAAAGCATTAGCAGAAACACTATATAGATAAATACTTCTCTTTGTAGATACATAGAACAGCAACTTTTGTAAAAGTAAAAAAAAAAAGTGAGAAAAGCAATCCTAAGCTCTAGAAATGTACTCTCACAGTGGGGGTGGCCTATCTGCATATCATCTTCCCATTCATATCACCTAACAAAGGGTATTACAACTCACACTTGCCTCTGATTCACATGGTGTCCAATAACCCTCATGCTTCGTAGTCATTAATACAGATGGTCCTTGGCTTGCAACCATTTGTTTAATTATGGTTCAAAGGAGTGGTGAGATTAAACATTTTTTACTACCAGTTCTGTGGGCGTGGCTTTATGGGCGTGGCATGACTTGGTGGGTGTAGCAGGGGAAGGATACTGCAAAATCCCCATTCCCTCCCAATCAGCTGGGATTCGGGATGCAGAGAATAGATGGGGACGGGGCCATTCAGAGGTGGTATTTACCGGTTCTCCGAACTACTCAAAATTTCCGCTACCGGTTCTTCAGAACAGGTCACAAACTGCTGAATACCATCTCTGGTTCAAAGTTAAGATAGCCTTGAAAAAAGTGACTTATGGCCTATACTCTCATTTACAACCGTTACAACACCCCTATAGTCAGTGATCACAATTCGGGTGCTTTCCTACTGCTAGCTTGCATTTATGCCTCGTTGCCAATTCCTGGGGAAAAGTAGCATAAAAACACCCATGGGGAAACTGGATTTGATTAATGATCATGTGATTCACTTAACGACTGCAGTGATTTGATTAATGATTGACATAAATTTTTTTGTAAAGTTTAGTATGACTCAACTTATGACTACAAGAACCTATGACAGAAATTTCAATCACAATTTTGGTCCTAGGTCAAGAACCAGCTGTCGTCTGATCACTTGTGCCTTACAGGTGCATTGAAAAGTGACTAGGAGCAGGTGGGTGATAAAATATTTTTAATATTTTTAATATTAATATTTGTATTGCCTTAAAGAGATAATTCCTATGAAACATATGATTTTTAAAAAAATGATCTCACCTCAAATGCATTTGTTTGCATGTTCTGAAAAGCTACTTAAATCAGAGTTGTAAACAAATACATTTGAACTGGTTTTTTTTTTAAAAAAAAACTCTGATGTAAAATTTAAGCAGGTTTTCAGAAGATGCAAACAGGTGGTATGTGGGTGTTCCCATGTTTTGAAATGCCTGTTCTGAATTTGAATCCAAAAAAATGTGCAACTTGAATTTGCATAATTTTGTATGTTCACAACAAAAACGCCAATCAAGAATTAACAACCAGGATTCCTAAATATAAATGTTACATTCTTGTGGTCAATAGCATCAGTAAAGAACATGAGATGCCTCCAGCTCTTATAGTATGAATAAATACTTTTATTAATAAACATCCGAATGTTAGATCGCATTTTCATGTGATCACATTATTCTACAAGCACCAACTTATCATAATAATTAGAATAGTTTGCCTAGACTGCAGAAAGAATGTGTAAAACGAAAATTAGCAAATTCAAGGCAGAATACAGAGTTGAACAAAGGACTCCCATTAGTAAATTCATTGCTGGCTGAGTTGGTTCACTATGTGTAGCGTTACAATGAACCACAGAGGTCATCTTCCCAAACTTGGAATCTTCTGGAGATGTTGGCATTACAACTACCAAAACCGCCTGGAATGGACAACTTTTGTAGAGGATACCTATTTAGAGATGGTGGTGCTAGACCTCAAGGAGTGAATGAGCTTAGTTACAATTATGGCTGATATAAGGTTTAAGGTTTATTGCATTTAAAACATGATATGTGTTTTGTTTGCACACGTCATGTTTATTACCTGCTTTAGATTGTGGCTAGGCACCAGAGTTGATTCACTCTCTGGAAGAGGAGTCTGGAAACAAAAACCAAGACAAAAAACAAGAACATTTCCTTAGACATCTTACAAACTGAGGAAGGAGCTTTCTCTTACATTTGTTAAACCCAGGGTAATATAAATAGTATCCCCCATTCAAAGGAAATGACCAAAAGACCCAGTGGGAGATTTATTTTTATATTATGTTATACTGGTATGTGTTAGTATAGTTCCAAGTCTTATTTTAGAATCGGATTCATTTTTCATTATAGCTACCTACCTATAGCATGTGTGCACTCACACAAGCACACACCAGTTTTAAAATAACTCACAGCACTTTTGACCAGTTAGTTCTGGATCTCCAGAAAATGCAATTATTTTCTACAAAAATATGCAGTTTCAATGAATAACAAAACAGGAATCATAAACGGTTTAATGAAAGTATTTAGACTTCAACAGATTTTTAACAAATTAACAGAGTTGGAAGGGACCTTGGAGGTCATCTAGTCCAATCCTCCGCCCAAGCAGGAGAACCTACACCATTTCAGACAAATGGCAGTCCAGTCTCTTCTTGAAAGCTTCCAGTGATGAAGCTCCCACAATTTCTTGAAGGCAAGCTTCCACCTTGATGTGAATAAAATGATATTGTAACCAAATATGGGATTTTTAAAAGGGAAGAAAGGAATATTCCACTGGCATTTACTGTAGAAATATCATTCTTGCTGCTTTTCCACAGCGAGCACATGTCTTTCACGCCAGAGCAGCTGAAAATGAACATTTATCAACCTAGGTAGATACCGAGATAGCTGTACCTAAATACATGTAGAAGCCTGACTTTACAAGCAGATGGAATCGAAGGGAATGTAAAACAAAAATTTGTTCAAAAATGAGGTGAGCGGTTATGTTTAAAAAGATCAGATAATCCCAGTCAAGGGAGTGTAGGTTCTTCGCATTAAAGACAACCATGAATAAATGCAAACCATTTTCTCATAGGAAATAGGCTTAATCTAGCCATCTACACTATATGAAGTGAACAAAAGAGGCAGGATTTTGCTCTTCCGTGTTTTTCCACAATTGAAAAATAAATGAGATACAGGGTTGTGAGTATCATGAGAACTAGAGTTGATTACTAATAGGGTAGAGGTGGGCTTCACATAATTTAACAACTGGTTCGCCTAGTGTAGAATGGAAAATGTGAGCTTACACGTGGCTTCAAACACACAGCAGTTTCCAGCACATGGCTTCCAGCACACCTTGTCGAGTAGAACGAGCGAGGTGTGGAAATCAGCTGGGCTGTGTGGGTGGGTCGAGCGAGCCAGAGAGTGAGATATATAGGACAGGGTAGCACCATGGCAGGTGGGAGGGCCCGGCCGGTGGTCGGAACTACCGTTCGCCCAAACAGGTCTGAACTGATAGCTGCCTACCTCTGTAATAGGGTGACATTGCTTTAGCCAAGACAGATGGAAATATTTTTGTAGGTTGATTGGGTATAATAGAATATTTTTAAAAAATGTAATCCTCCCCTCTCAAAAAAAAATCAAAACATTTTTATCAGTTTTTCTTGTTCCCTTCCTTCCACACCCTCTTCTACTAACTGTGACTCACACTGATTTCCAATTCTGTGACCTGCAAAGGAAGAAAAGCCCCACTCCAGAGCTTCCTGCAGCTGCTGAGCATATATTATTTTGCTTCTGGAGGACAGTCGTTTTGAGAGAAAGTCTCTGCCCCCCTCCCCAATTAACATTTGATGAGGAATGGTATTATATTAGAGCCATAGGTCAGGCATAGAGGCTGTAACTAAAAGCAACCTTAAAAAGTAAATCAACATTTGAACAGATAACTCGAACTCCCATTTCGCCCCAAAGAAAACCGAAACGCACGTCCCTGCTTAACCAGCACTTGTAGAGGTTTTGTGGTCATTCACATACTCCTCGAAGACCCACAACGTAAGAGATAAATGGCTGGGTGGAAAACTCAATGGCTACAACAGCCTTTTCCAATGGCATGCTGGTAGGCAAATCAGACCACATTCATTACTGGTTACATACATTGGAAAAACTGTGGGAGTGTTTTTGTAGCCCCTTCTTAAACTCACACGCTTTGCCCCATAACCCAGGGATGGTGAATTGGTGACCCTGCAGATGTTGCCGAATGTCAGCTTTCAACGGCTCCCACTAGCATGACCAATTGTGAAAGCCTCTGGAAGGATGCAGGTTCTCCAACCCTGAGATACAGTAATGGAAATGTGACGGTACCAGAATGTCACCAACAAATGCTTATCAGGGAGATGAAGGAAAGAACATCACTATATGATCATTCAGGATCATGTAATGTATATTTGCTGGAGGTCATGGTGTTACATCTGTGTGTAGAAAATAAAACCACAAAGAAAATACCATTATCCCTGTTTTCCTGTGGATACCAAGGATCTACAGTGTGCTCTTGCTGAAAAATATAATTACTACAAAGATGTGAAAGCTTACTCTGAGGTTCCTGGTGTGACTAATGCTTCAACACATTATTTGATGTTAATATCACCCATTTATAGATGCAATCTTTCCTTCGGCAATTAAACTGCCATCAAAAAATATCAAACTAAGCCCCACTTTCTTTGGGATGCAAATCAATACATATCAGGAAAAAAGCAGAGGAAAACCGAGATTGCACTATTTCAACAGGCCAGTCTTCTTACGGCGAAATAATGATGAGGTGGCTAACTCAAGCAGTGTTTTTTTATGGACAGCAGAATGGGAAAGAATGGCATTTTGATTCCCCCCCCCTCTCTCAGCCCCCTCTTGGGTAAACAGCTGTGCGTAAACAGAAGAAATTAAATGACATAACAAGCAGGCAGCAAACTACAAGAGTTACTCCCTTTGACACTTCAGCAAACTGCAGAGTGGCTTGCCTGGAATGCACCGGAATGCTGAGTGCTTCAACAAGAGCCCACGAAAACATTTCAATAAACACAACTGTGTTGCTCACATTCTTTGCAATAGCTGCTTCAGATACTGATCAGCTTGCAACATGGACATGAAAGGCTAGCATTTTTCTGGTACAGATGGCCAACTTGCATTCAACACAGAAGAAGAAACCAAGAAAGAGAAAGGACAGTGGAAGTTCGGATTAACATCTGGCAAAACACAAAAGTGAAATCCGAGATAAGGCAAACTCGGTTACCGTGGAATTAAAAACCCATGGAACACAGTGTGTTTTTTCAGAATAAAAACGGATAGGAAGGCATTGTATGATTTGAAGATGAAGACAGCAGGCAGCAGCTGGGTTCACACATCATGCCACAAGGCACCTTCTATGTGAATTCGGTCACGGCATCTTCTCCAGCAAGCTATTATTAAACATTGTAGGGGAAGCAAAGTAGCAGGTGCGCTATATGGTACTTTGGAGCAGAAAGCACCTTGACATACCAGAACACTGGTGTCATTAGCAAAACTAACTTTGTTAGCTGAAGAGCACCTTCTGATTAGGTGTCCAGTAATCATGCTCAACAAGATGATTTACTTAACAACTGCAGTGATTCACTCAATTGTTGTCACATGGCAAGGACTACCTGTCTCTATTTACACAATGCTATCAGTGGCTAAGACGCTGAGCTTGTCAGGTCGGCAGTTCGGCGGTTTGAATCCCTAGTGCCATGTAATGGAGTGAGCTCCCGTTACTTGTTCCAGCTTCTGCCAACCTAGCAGTTCGAAAGCACATAAAAATGCAAGTAGAAAAATAGGGACCACCTTTGGTGGGAAGCAGTGGTGGGATTCAAATAGGGTTAGGGTTAGGGTTAGGGTTAGGGTTAGGGTTAGGGTTAGGGTAAGGGTAAGGGTAAGGGTAAGGGTTAGGGTTGTTAACGTTGTTACCATTGTTTTCGCGTTGTTTTCGATGGCACGCTTTTGTCGGCGCGCATTTGTCGACGCGCTTTAGTGGGTGCGCTTTCAATTTCGCTGCTTTGTCGCAGCGGTTTTGGAGGCACGCATTTGTCAGGCGCGCATTTGTTGGTGAACCGATTAAAATATATGAAAGAAATATATCAGAGAAAGGTAGTAGTACTACAAAAGAGCTGACAAAAGAAAAAGAATCAAACAAAGGGATTCCCACTTCTAGCCTTTCAAAGGCCATTAAAACCTATTTCTTTCCTCTGTACATTTTTATTTTTGCCACACCTCTTTCATTATCCTTATATCAGGTCACCCACATTCCTCAAACTACTCTCAACATACAACAGGGTGTCAAACTCGCGGCCCAGAAGGCAGATGCATCATGCGCTGGCCACTCCCGGATTAGCAAAGGGGGGAAATGTCCCGATATGTCCCGTGACGCTTCCGTGACAACGTGACATACAATACCCTTTACCTGATGTCATTTTCTTTAAACTTCCTTGCTATTTCTTCAGAGTGCATAATGATACAGCTGTAACTGTACTTTGCAATGTTATTTGTCCCTCAGTGGATCAGCAGGGTGAAAAGGAATTTTCAAAGCCACAATCGCTAATCTTGGAAGACAACACAATGCATGAGGTAATATACATTTGTTTTGGCTCCTCTTGGTCGTTGGCCATCAGCTGACACAATTGTTCCCTGTCTCCCATTGAGCATTGTCTCTCCTTTTTTCCCCCCTCCATAAATGCTCAGAGCCTGTTTCTTTGGTGAGCATTTCAAAGCTGTCTCTCAATTCCTTTGGTGCAGAATTTCTTCTAATTGCGTCTTGCTTTTAGTTGCTCATCCACTGAATATGTCCCTTTGTTTATTTTCTTTTTTCAGGAGTTTTGCACCATCTCTTTTCTTTGATGTGATAAAACTGCATAGGCCCTGATCTGCTGAAGAGTGGCCACACTAAAGTTACGATTCTCTGATTTCTTCTTAATCATAAACATTTTAGGTCAGAACTATAGCTTTCTGTCTGTTCATCTTCACTTTTGTTTCTTCACCCATAATAAGCAGCCACAGTTCTTAGGATCCAGCCCTTGGAATCAGCAACTTTTTTTGACTTTTTCATACTTGCAGCTGACCATCCAACCTCTCAGAATTTACTGT